CACGTGGAGGGGATACGGGCTGCGAACTTCGGTGCCAGCAGCTCACGACGGCACCGATGTTGATGCGATCCCCTCTCGGTCAATCGTTGCGCGACTGATTCCACACGGACTCGAAGGCTACATGCAGAAGCCGGACGCAAGTTTGTGCGCCCGTCAACACGCTAGACGCATTTTACACAGCAATTACGCAGCGGTTTCCGGGCAACAGCTCGGACGGTGGCTCCAGGCCCTTTCGGCGATGTCGACGGGTGGGGGGGAAGCCCATGTAATTCTGTTTCCGGGTCCTGACGGATCACCACGGCTCCACCTGGGAAACTGCTTGGGGAGCAGGGCAGATCCGTCAGAAAGTTATAAGGCTGGGCAGCGCTGCAACCTCCCCATCCATGGAACTGGGCTCAACTCTCCCCTGTGCGCGCCCCGTGGCAAATGAGTTTGAGTCGGAACCCTCCTCCCGTCTCGTATCTGCTGCTACCTCGGCAGCGCCAGAGATGACAATGGGGGCGGTCTATTCCACCTTTGTCACGCTAATACGACCAATTTCGTTCTGGGGCAAGCGCCGAACCACACCACAATGGGTCCGCATCCCGGACAACCTGGCCCACTGGCCATGGCCAAGAGCCGTCAATCCTCACATGGAAGAGTGCTCCGCTGCGTCTGACGCCTGGTTACAGAGCTTCAATGTCTTCAGCCCCAAGGCTCAGGCTGCGTTCAGCAGATGCCAGTTTGGTATGTCGACAGCGTTCATTTCAGGGGCTCAGCTTACACAATCAGGTCTCCTCGCGTCGCTGGGGTATCCAACGCTGAACAAAGGTGAGGCACCCTCCCGATGTATCTGAGATCCGCATCCTGAACAAATTCCAGATGGCTGCCGTGTCGCATGTGATCTCATGAACCTCTTTTTCGTCTTTGACGAAAAGTCAGACATCTCAGACGAATATGAGACTCGCGCCCAGGCGGATTGCATCATGGATGCTCTCCGTAACCCCTACAAACCACGACCGCCAGGAGAGTGGATAGGTGGTACCATCACCCAACAGTACGTGAACCTTGCTCCCTCACTCCTTCCCCATGGACTGTCACCCCTAACTCCGCTCAGGTTCTGGCAAAATGCCATCAAGACCGGCACTCCCCTCTTCCAGCAACGCTTCATCTCCTACTTCGAACGCTATACCGACGCCGTGGTTCAACAATCTCGAGATAGGGGGAACCACTGCATAAGAAACATCAAGAGCTACTTTCCCCTACGGCGTGACACCATCGGGACATTGCCTTCCTTTGCGGCGATCGAACTCCACTTCAATATCCCAGACCATGTCATGAACCATCCGACAATCCAGAGGATGACAGATTTGTGTACGGATATGGTGAGCATCGGGAATGATCTGTACTCGTATGACAAGGAGTGTGTATCCTTCCCTGCCTTCCCTCAGCTTTCAAGACAGTCAGTGCTAACAGTGGGAAGGCAATCTCGGGATGACGCAGACCATAACCTCGTGACAGTGGTTATGAAGGAGAAGGGCCTGTCGCTCCAAGAGACCTACGATTGGATCGGGAGATACCATGATGACGTGGCGGACGAGTTCTTGAGGCTGTATAAGGACTTGCCTCCGTTCCCAGATGAGAGCGAGCAGGTCAACCGTGAGATATGGGAGTATGTGTACGGCCTTGGGAACTGGGTGAGGACTAATGAGTGCTGGAGCTTCGAGGTGAGTCGCCATCCAATGCTGCAGTCCCGATCTGGTGCTTACAAGGAGGATAGTCAGGTCGATACTTCGGGAGTGATGGACAGAAGATCATCGAGAACGGCATGAGGTTCGCGCTACTCCCGAGGAAGAAGGTGGACCACTCCAAGACTTTCAATCCAACTGTGGTCGCCTTTTCCAGCTCGTGACGGGATCCGCGGGCTGCGACTTTCTCTCTTTTTACCTCTTCCTTTCCCTTGTTTTCTTGGACTTTTCGGCAATGCACAGCGAGCGAGCGAGGGACTTGGTAAGATACCCGGATTGTATGGACCACGAGGATAGTTCTAGCGGAATTTTCTCGATCTTCTCTCGATTAAATATCCCTAACGTAACGCAAATGATGAATTCATGCCTGTTGCCTGCGAAGATGATGCTGTTGCCAATGCTGATGTGCTGATGCTGTTGTTCCTTCCCGATGCTGATGTCCTCCTCGAGTCTAAAAAAGAAAAGAAAATGCCAAGGCTGAATGGTATCTTGGTCGTAAAGGTGGGCGTTGCATGTTGTCGCGCGTTATCCGGTTTGCATCATGTCGTCCTCGGTGGTGTCGATGTTCCTTGGGACCTCCCTCGAATGCGAAGAACGCGGGGAGCTATACACTGACACCGCATCGGAGGGGTCGCCCGGTTTCCTCCCCCAGACCACGTAGAACTTCTCGTAGATGTGCATCTTCTGATCCGCCAGGTCCTTTCGTACATTGACAAGCGATACCTGAACAACCCCTCGGTCAGCAACATGACCCAGAAAACGGGGGTGGAGAGAGGGGGGGGGGGGGGGTCGAAAAAGAATGTCAAAAAGGGGTCAAAACAAACCTCAATCTCCTCCTTCTGCATCCCATTCACCCGATGAAACAGCGCATAACTCAACCCCGACATCCCCTCCTCCACATTCCGGTGCCACAGCTCCCCCAGCCTCTTCAACCTCGGCACCTTTGGCCACCCGTTCATCGGAATCTTATACACCTTCTCATGCACATCGACAAACCCCGCATCGATATACATCTGCTTGATCGTCGGCGTTATGTGCAGCGGTCTCCCCGCCGCGGCGCTCGCGCGACACATCTCATCCCACCACCTCTTCACCCCGTGCGTGACTGGGACTTCCCTGTCGTCACAGTGCACGTCGCAATGCGGCTCCTGGCTTTCCATCCACCCGCCTGGTCGCAGCCGTTCGAAACCCTTGCGTATGACGGAAGCCATGTCGTCCCAGCAGCCGATGGTGACGCGACAGTGGATGTAATCGATGTTGTGCCAGTCGCGGCCGGATTGCCACTCGTCGTTGGCGTCGTCGACGTAAAAACGGACGTTGGGAGGGACGAGGTCAGGTTGGATGGGGGAGAGGTCGGTGCCGATTACGGAGGAGCGGGGGAATTCGTCACCCATTTCGATGGCCCAGCGGCCGGTGCCGGTGGCGAGGTCGAGGATGCGGAGGGGTGGGTTGGACGCGGAGAGGGGGGCGAGGTAGTTGCGGTTGTCGAGGAGGATTTTGAGGATTTCGTGTTGGTTGTTTAGGCGGTCGACTTCTTTTTCGTCGTTGGGGAAGTGGTACGCTGAGGAAGAAAGATAATGTCAGGTGGTCTTTCTTTGCTTGAGATGTTGGGGGATGGGTGATTGGGGACTTACACCCGGCGTGGTAGGCATGGTACGTGCGGCCATTTTCGTTGAAATACTCAAAGATGCTGTCTGTGAGTGATGCTGTCTCGCTGAGTGTTGATATATCGGTTAGTTGTTGTTCTCAGAGAAGGCGCGCGGGTTGGGACAAACTCGTAGTCGTCCGGCTGAGAACTGTTAGCGATTGCGACAGCTGGGGAAGGACACAGATGCGCGAACCGATTGGGAGCGCTTGAGCCTGTCATCAGCTTCAATATGCGCGCTCGAGTCGAGATAGAACTCAAACGTAAACTTGTAATCATCGAGCGCCTCGTCCTTGCGCCCTTGAAGAGCCATCGTGACAGATCCTCAGACCCGATCGCAGCGTCAAGCTCACACCAAACGCATGCGCGTCGCAAAATGTAATGTCCAACGCTCGAGTCTAGTAACTCACCAAATTACCCAGCGATAACACAGGTGTGAGAGAAGGACGAGAACAACCTAAACCCCCCAAAGAGGGAGGGGGGGGGAGGTGGTCGCGGGTACTTTGAGGATTCCGACTCTACTTAACTGAAAAACAAGTCCCACGTCCCAGAGGGAAGCTCCTCCGCTCCGGCAGCTGGAGGCAGGGCACGTCAGAAACACCCAGTCCCAGCAGCGTGGGTCAGGGGGCGTCAGCCCACCCGAACGGCAGAGTCCCGGCAATCTGGGTGCCTGCCAGAATTGAAAGGCGCGAGCGCCCCCCCCCGAAACCCCCCTGGGAATATTCGGGAAGTAGCGTCTTGACAGAGGGGGTTCGTGCGACCAATTCCCGTTTCCCTTGGGAACAACCTGCCACGATGACTGGCCATTTTCCGCTCTGCGCTCCTCGCTTTCGTATTCCCCCCGGTTCCTTCTCCACAATCATCACGTAACCGTCCTTCCCGAAAACGGCGCAATCAGCGCTAGCCCGCACCAAAAACAAGCGCGCCAAAGACGCACAGTTCCAGGGGGCTGGGATACCAGAATTGCCAGCTGTCACACACAGCCTCCAGCCCGCCCACTGCGCTGGGTCTCCCCCCAATTCGGCATCCCGGGCGCAGTCGGCTCTCCCCGACAGGTGTCTCGGCAGAGGAATGTGGCGCCCCATGGCAACCTAGAATCAACGTGTGCGACATGGAGTGCGCGACATGGCGTGCGCGACATTTGATGTGCGGCAGATCGTGGCCCGAGTCCCTTCTGGAATAGAAACATTCGAAACGCAGAGGGCCACAAGAGCAAAGAATAAAAATAAAGACAAAAACTTTCGGTATGATCCCATCGTCGGAACCCGTCATTGGATGATTGCACTTGTACGGAGTACTTTTTGCTTCCGCCCCCCTGCCCTTTAGAATGCACTTTTATCGCCGCGTGCTGACATCCGTGCGAGTTGAACCATTTTCACTTTACGCCCCGCTCCATCCGACCAGCGATCGCCGCGCGCGCAAGTCTATAAACTGAGCTATCGTCACTGGCAGGAACAAAAGATGACAAGCAACAAAGCGCGACGAATCCCAGCATTCACCCCTTCCCGCCGCCCGCCCTCAAGCAACACCTGGTACGACAACCTGAAATCCACCCAAATGAACCTCCCTCAGTCCTGGAGCACCTCGTATCCCGTCTTTTACCTCTAGTGAGGTGAGCAACAAAAAAAGGGCTCTGTCGGGGATCGAACCCGAGACCTCGCACAGTACTTGTACCAAGTATGGGAAGTAATCCCGAAGCACGAATCATACCACTAGACCACAGAGCCATGTTGATTGGATGTTCTTCAAGTGGCTGAGTGACGCGCTATCACAGGTGTGCTTCCAGAGCGCGTCAGCGACACACGAACCAACCGACCAACTGACCAACCAAAATGCTCCGCTGGCACTAGGGCTCTGAGGTGCAGATCAATACCTCCCTGCCCCTCTTCGCATTTCCCGTTTTCTCTCTTAACCTCGGGAATTTTCTAAATTCTCTATTCGCGCGCATCACAGCACAATCTCTCACATCTCACATTCCCCTCCCCAAGCGAATGCAGCTTAACAATCATATTTTTCTTCATGTCCCTGTCAGCTTCCCTCTACGGGAAACGGACATGGATCATCATCATCCCACTCTATCCTGACCCACCACAACTCATTCCCTTCCCCCCGGCCTATCGTACCGACAAACCCAGCCAGCGTCGCGTCGGCTCCCGGCTCGGGAATCCCCTCGGGACGTGTCATGCCGGCACTGGTTGCATCTAACCCTCTTTTCATCTCCGGGCACCACACCATTTCATGCCACGCCATGCGAAAAAAAAAAAAGAAAAAAAAAGAAAAGAAAAAACCAAAAAAAAGGAGTTCGAAGTATATACAAGAACCGAACTACTTTAGAATCGAAACATGCCTAATCCATGCAGATAATTCCCACGATCTCAGATGATCCCACCTCATTGGAGGCTGACCTCTGACGAGTAGGTGATTTACTGGCACTGCGAGTACCAGGGAGCGGAAACGTCAACACACCTCATCCCGGACTATACAGACGTTAGCACTCATTCATGCTCGACATAAGTTCAAGGAATGGGAATACTCACAGCACAGGTTGTGCATCCAGTGAACCCCTGTCCACCACACTGTCCGTACCTGGCAACTTCGCAACCGCCGCCGCCGCCGCCGCCACCACCACCATTGCCAGGCGCGGAAGTGTCAGGAGACGCGGGCTGAGGAGCCGGGGCAAGAGTCGCCGAAGGAGCACTGCCAACGGCGCAAGTCTTGGCGCAGCCCTCGCATCCAGTGCCAGCCTGCTTGGTCGTTCCACCAGCATAAACTGTCGGTCCGGGAGCAATGTAGGTGCTGAGGGAGCCGTGGATGTTGACGAGCAGCCCGGGGTCGCTGGCCTTGTAGGCACCTGGGAGAGAAACAGTCGGGGGGCTGGCGCTGCCGCCTCCGGAGACGGTGATCTGGAAGCAGGTCATATACAGCTGAGCACCGCCGGAAGAGCCCGAAGCGTGAAGGGCAATTGCCTCGGCGCGGAGGAGGTAGTCGCCTGAGGGGATGTCAGAGGGGATCTTGACATCAAGCTTGCCGCAGCAAGCGTTGAGATCCTTGACACCCCAGAAGTCGTCGTCGCCAACGCGGCCGGATGGGTTCTTCGCCCAGGAGTTCTGGTAGATCTTGAACCAGCCGGTGGAACCGTCAGCGGTGGCGGCATCGGAGACCTTGGTGAGGTAGACCATGACCGGGCCGTAGTGAGCACCGCCGATGCCCTCGTTGGCGCAGGAGCGATCGCCGTGTTGCTGGTGCATCTCGACGGCGACGGTTCCGCCGGCTTCGACAGGGCACTTTCCACTCACTCGGGCGGCGCCAGCATTACAACGAAGATCGGCCGAGTTGACGTTGGTAACCGGCGAGTTGGAACTGGGCTTGCGGGCACACTGTGTGCCATAGTCGGTGCCGTCAACCCAGAGTTGCTGGAAAGTAGCGTGAGCGGCGACATTCTGTGCGAGGAGAGCCGCGCAGGCGGCGAGTGTGAGGGACTTCATGATGCGGGTGAGGACTAAGAAAATTCAAGAAGCGCGCCGAGAGGAACTCCCTTCGACAACGTCTGGTGCAGAGCGACGGCGGGATTTATACAGCTTGTCGACGTCCAAGACTCTGGGCCTTCGCGATGACGGACCGAAGCGATGTGCGAGTGGACACTCGTCGCGGCGGTGCCAGCGGCATGAATGCAAGCCTCTTCCGTGCCCATCCTCCAATTTCCATCAGTTATACTCGCCCAACAACGGCGACTTGCCTTCGGCGGCATTCAACGGGCCCCGTGAACACATCTTGGGCTTGCGCCCCGCAAAATGGAACCCAAGGTGATCTCGAGTCGTGGAGAAGATGGAAGGCTGGGTTTGCGGGAAGGAAAGCTATTGGCGGGTTGGTCCAGGTGGTTCATCTAAATTGACTGTTTGGGGAATTCGGAGTCGGGGTGCCGCACACTACCACTCGCAAAAAACCAGGATCGGTGTGTGACTTGCCGCATCGCAGTTCTGGACGCGTTGGCTTTCCCCGGCCAAGTCTTCTACCTGCATCCGTGTGTCGTAGGTCAAGACCAGCCAAGACTGACGGGTTGGTGTTCGGGGGGCCGAAAGGGGGGCGTATATGCCTGTCAATTATTGCCAATCACCCATCAGCGTCTTGGGTACTATGCGATAACGAGTCCAAGAGTCCAACAGCGCTTACCTGATGACCAGAGGCATTTAATCCTTTTGTCCCTCAACGCGAGTGCGATTCCAGGAAGTGGGGCCTGTCTTGACATAGGCGAGCCGAATGTGATCAAAATCAGGATGACACAGATCGCAGCAATCGATGTCCGCCGTTGGTACCATATCCCTCTGCTTGTTTTTTTTGTTGAAACCGCCTATTGTCGACGAGCCCAACCAACCTGCGATGTTCATCCTGCACAACCATGTAGAAGATCTTGTCGCTCTCGCCTTCGGCCCAGTAAACGGGGCCACGATACATAGGCGATTCAAGGGGCTGTCTGATTCCGAGCCCATAGTGCCCATAAACCATTCGGAGGTCGTCACTCGAGGCCTTACCTTCGCCGTATCTGATAGTTGACAAGGTGAAGACACTGAACATTGCGCTTTCTGATTCTTGGGTTCCGCTGTAGGTCTAGACAAGCACTCCGGTGGTACTGTGGTGAGTGAGATGTTGAAAACGTGTTGTTGTGACACAAGCTTCGGGTTCTGTCTCGGGGCTGTCTCGGGGGATGGAAAAGTGATTATGCTTGGCTCAGCAAGATTCACGCGGTAATTAGAGAAGATGTTGCCTCCAATCCCCGGCTTCAGAAACAGATCCGAAAACTCAGTTTGCGGCAAGTCGGTTAAGTTAGAACATATTGCAAGAGGGGTTAGAAAGGAACCCCTGCGTGCAAGAGTGTTAAATGACAGTGGTATGGTCCCCTTCGAGACTCTCATCGCATCAAGAGTCAAACCAGCTCGCCCATGTCCCTTGTCGTTGTAGGTGTCAAGAATGGCGATACAGCCAGACCTAGTTCGCAAGACTGGAAGCTTAATCGAGATCCCCGAGTTAGTTAACGAATAAGGAGAAGGGGCAAAGCTAGACCACTCCGGGTTTCGGCTCTTGGAGGAAGTTGTGTTAGCAAATGCAAGCGGTGATGGTATCAAAAACACCAAATCCTATGAGTCCTCTTCCCACCACATCCGGAATTTTGAAGCCGCCTCCCCAAGCAAAGATCGTGTTGTCGCTATATCTTCGGATGATTTCTTTCTGGAGACGGAGAAACTCTTTCGGACCCTCGCCGTATAGAAGCGGCATGTTGATATCGAAAATACCGTGCACGCAGTAGGGCATATCTTCAACGCGAGTGGTCTGGCGTTTAGCAACCCATGACATTCGAGTAGCGACGGGGGTCTTTAGAAACTTCGGGGCGAGACCAATTTGAGCCGCTTCAAGGGCGCGGAGGTGCGTGACGTCAACACTCGTTGCCTCGCTAATCTCGCGAACAAAGTCGGCCCTTCTTCCGAGCCACGCCCACTCTCGGCTGTAGAAACCGAGAGATGAAGGGGCGATAAGCTCTTGTAGCGCCCGCCCATGGGTGAACCATCGCGAAGCGCGCAGCTGGGAGACGATGGACGCTCATAGGGCGTCATCGGACGTTTGCGCGTTGGTTGTGTCGGAATCTGATTCGGCCTCTGCGAGACTGTCCTTGGTAACACCTTCAAGGTAGGCAGAGCTCGAGCGTTTCCGTGTTGATGAGACGCATGGCGATCTTGGCGTGGTTGAAGTTTGCGTGGCAGGGGATCGATTTTTTTGCGGGAATGACGGCCCTGTGTCCAGGTGTGGAGTGTGTTTGTCGAGGTCAGCGGAGCGGAGGTAGCCGAAATTCAGCCCCAAAAAGAGTCATGCTCAGAAGGCGCGACCCTCCTCAACGCGGATTTCGACCAAACATCTTCAGGCTCCCGCCCGCCGAGCTTTCCACCGCATGATTGTTCCGCATCGCCCCATCCTCCAATCTCAAACAGGGCCGCCGTCACGGTGCTTCGGCTTTAACTGTGACTGAATGGTGGTTCTTGTCGGCCATAAATTATAGCAAATTATCGCACAGAGGAAATGGAACGCTGACTTCGTTGGCAGATTCGTCGACCACAGAGGTTCAAAGTGTTCACTCATTTGTCTAAGGGCGAGACCCGTGGTAACCATCAGTCCAAACATCTAAGTATTACAACCATTCCTACATAACATTACACAATCACAAATCTTGTCCATATCTCATCCCCTTTTAACCCAGTACCCACCCCTTCCCACAGCTTTATCTCTTTCTAACACACCCTCCGTCCTCACTCCTAGTTTATGCAACGGCACTGCTGTGTCTACCTTTCTCTGCATCGTGTCTCTCACTTCCCCAAACCTCTCCCCCAGATTCCTTGCGCTCTTCACCCCCTTCAGCCCCTTCACAGTCACCCCCGGCGCCCAGTGTTCGCGCGTGCTGCTCAAACTTGCAACAGTCAGGATAACATCACGGGAAACCATATCCAGCTTTTGCTGCAGCGGAGCGTCCCGTGGGAGGTAGGGACGCATGTAGCCCATGATGATGATTTTGAGTTTGGTGTTGGTGAACGAGGACGGGAACTCGTGAAGGAGGTGAGCGGTAATGATATTCTCTTGGATAACAGCGGCGCGGGCGGAAAGGGAGGGCGAAGAGGTGATTATGGCTTGGTGCCAGGCCAGGGGGGCGTGGGGATTCGATGAAACAAGCGCAGCCCAACCGAAA